AGCTTCCCTGCAGAACAAGAAGTCTTTTCTTGAGAAGCCCGTTCTCATCTCTTCAAACTAGCTCAGAGCAGGCACTGAAGACATCTTTCCAGACCAGCTACTGACTGAAGAATCCCCTGTCTTCTCAAGACCCCAGCCTAACTCCTAAATCATGTCATTTGTTTTCTAATAAACCGTGCCCTCAGCATAGAAGTCATGGTCTTTGTAATGTTTCCTTTTGGTAGATCTGTCTCTCTGTTTTGTCCAGAGATCTTCAAAGCAAAATGCCCAATAGTCCTCTTAAACTGTTTTTCCACAAGAACCTAAGTCTGATTTATTTTATTATTATGCTTGGAAATGACATTTATAGGGCACAGTAATGGAGTGAGGAAGGTGGCCATGGCTATATCTTCATCACATACACACAGTCACTTGTACTCACAATTCCGGACACGCAAACAGCTGAGAAGTGTCCTTCCACAATGCCCAGGTAGGAGGCTGCATCTAGGCTGACACTTACATCCCCAAAGGGTTCTTTCAGGGACCTGACACCTGTTAGCCCAGTGTAGAAAGCCCAGCATGCTAGAGGTGGAAGGAACCTTAGGCGACATCTTGCCATTCACCTGATTTTGAAGCTGAGGAACAGTGAGTAATGAATGATTAAATAAGTTCTTACTAATGTAATTACAATCACTAATGTTCAGAAAAGATCCAGGAGAATGCAAAGCCCCTGACGTTAAGCCTTGAAGTCAAACACTTCCTCTTCGTGTGGTATGAGACATGTTTCTCTGTCCAAAGAAACTTTTTGTCTCCTGTGGCCAAGAGTAAGTAACTGCTACTCAGATAGTGTGCTCCTTTCTATGTGTTACAGATCTGATTGTGAGTTAGAATGCCAGTCACAACGCTGACTCTTGTGGACATTAAACCCACACTGGCTTCTGAGGGCTGATTATCTCTGTGCTCAGGAATTGGGTATTAATGGCATTTTCCAAGCAAATTAATCAATTGCTGTCAATCTGCTCGTATTGATGGAACATCTACTATGAATAAGGCACTGAGTTGACCATCCTGAGGGTATATAAAGGGATAAAAGAGAGTTCCTGCCTCAAAGAGGTTATAATCTACATAGGGAGATGAGGTATAAATCAGAAAAAAAGTCAAACAGTACAAAATATAAGCAATATAAATATAGAAGAAATGCCCAAAATAGGTATAAATAGTTGAAGATTATAAACCTATTATGAAACATTATACAATTGTCCTCTCATGTATTTAAGTAAAAAACAAGTAAGCCGTAAAATATTAAATTATTCTGTGAAGAAAAATGAGTTCTGCGTGTCTAGACTAATGGTTTAGGTATATTTTATGCCTAAAAAAAAAAATCTGGAATCTTATGCAAACAAAATCTAAGAGTAAACGGGAATTATATTCATTCCCTTTACATTTTTCTTAATGACAATTTTTTAATGAACGTACATTTTATTTTTTATGAAATGTACTAAAACCTATATCTACTTTGGGAAAAATATTTAAACCTTTCTCACAATTATGCTCTGCTTCTAAAAACCTACCTGTCAAAGTCTAAATGGATTTAAAGCAGATAAATTAGACAGCAGCTGTTTGTATTTCTAAAGAAGTCTTTTATTATATATAGTACAAGATACCATTATGTTATATATAGTAACTTCTCTGATATCTTTAAAATGCAATTAAATTATTAAACACTGAATTCATTTTTTAACATCTAAGGACTTTTTTTTAACATTTAAAACATTTTTTAACATTTAGTACACCATATTTTATGCATTAAAATAGGAGCACTTTTTATGTGTTCTTGCCTAAAAATGAAGTTTAGCTTTGGGGCAAAGATGGGTGTCTTAGACTGAATAAACATTAGAATCACTCCTGAGAGACTCATGGACTCGCTACCTTTGTGGATCTTTATAAAAAGGAGGAGAAAATCTCTTCGGAATGATTTTGATAGGAAGTGTTTGGAGTAGAGAAACCAGTCTTGTCAACTTGAGGTTTTATGTATCTTCAGAAGAGGCTCCCTTTGCACAAAATGGGATGATCATGAAGAACCCTCAGCAACATAAATAACTAATAATAAATGTGCCTTGAAAAGAGCAAAGCACAAATAAACAAAAGCAAAAATCAATTAACTGAAAAACTTCTGCACAGAAAAGAAACAATCAACAAAATAACAACCTACTATGGGAGAAAATATTTGCAAACCATATATCTAATAAAGAATTAACATCCAAGATAAATAAGGAACTCCTACAACTCTATAGCAAAAAAGAAACCAATCCAACTGAAAATAAGCAGAGGACTTAAAGAGACACCTTTCCAAAGACATGCAGATGGTCAACAAGTACATGGAAAGGTGCTCAACATTACTAACCATCAGGGAAATGCAAATCACAACCATGACAGGTGTAGTATCCCACATCTGTTAGAATGGCAATTATAAAAAAGACAAGTAACAAATGCTGGCAAGGATGTAGAGAAAAGGAAACCTTGGTGCACTATTGGTGAGAATGTAAACTGGTGCAGCTACTATGAAAACAGTATGGAGATTCTTCAACAATTAAAAATAGAACAATCATAGGATCCAGCAATCCCACTTCTGGGTATATATCCAAAGGAGATGAAATCACCATCTCAGCGATATCTGCACTCACATGTTCATTATAGCATTATTCACAACAGCCAAGACATTGAAACAATCTAAATATCTAATAGTAGATGAATGGATAAAGAAAATGTGGGATCTATAACTATATTTATACCTATACCTATACATATATATATATATACAATGCAATATTATTCAGCCATAAAAAAGGAAGGCAATTCTGTCATTTGATGGACTTTGAGGGCATTATACTAAGTGAAATAAGTCAGACAGAGAAAGACAAATATTGTATTATCTTACTTGTATGTGGAATCAAAAACATTCAACTCAGAAACGGAGAGTAGAAAGGTGGTGTCCAGGGGCTGAGGAGTAGGGGAAATGGGGAGATGCTGGTCATAGGATACAAACTTGTAGTTATAAGATGAATAAGGATCTAATGTATAACACGGTAACTATAGCTAAAAATACTATATTGTATACTTGAAAGTTGCTATGAAAGTAGAGCTTTAATGTTCTTGCTATAACAACGACAACAAAGTAATTATGTGAAGTGAAGGATACGTTAACTAACTTTATTGTGGTGAACATTTTGTAATATATACTTGTGTCAAATCATCACATTGTACACCTTACTTATACGATGTTATGTGTCAATTATATCTCAATAAAGCTGGAGGGGAAGGTAGAAAAAGAAAGCAGAACATACAAGTTTTTATCTAGGCTCTGGTTACTGCTTTGAAAAGATCACATGTGCCCATGGACAAGAGAAAGAACGTGAAATGTAAGAGAGTTGAAGGTTTTCATCCATGAGATTGCTTAATTTGTCCCTCCTCTGCACTCCCAATTGTGACTATATGTTCAGTCGATTTACATTCCTTTTAAAGTTCTGAAATCATGTTTGAAATTCCATTTAGGGAGCGTTGGCTGCTTGGAGCCCAAGGCACATTCTTTTGAATGATGAGAGTGATCTTAAAGTGATCTGAAACTCTGGTGAATAATAGGAGGAACAAAGCTGAAAGCTTTAATAACGAGACTGTTTCTCTCATGCAATTCCTCGGCTGCCTCTGGTAATGCTTCCTGAAGGAGCACGTCCATCACACCTCTTGCAGTGTTACCCCCCCCCCACCCAGAATAGCTGTGTGGCTTCCACATGTATGTACTCCAAACAATGTACTGTATGTCTTTGCAATGTTTGTTGAAAAAAACCTCCATCCTATCATTTCTTCATCATAGCACCATGTCGAGGTAAATTAAAAACAAAAAACAAAAAACAAAAACAAAAAACTTTTCATTACATGATTCTTTATCACATACACGAGAAAAGCAAATATAAAAAATATCATGTCTCAGAGATAAGATCAGCGTTCTGCGACTAGAAGGACCAAAGACATGTATAAACTGAACTGGAAAAAAGAAAATAACAGTAGATGGCCTTCTTGGTTGTTTTGCTCCAATATTTAACCTAGTTTACAAAAATAAACTTTTGCCTTTTCCCCACAAGTATAGGAGCTACAGTTCTATACAAGGCATATACATTTCATTAAATCAAGTGATATGTAGTCCCAAGGAATCCACATCAAAGGACATGTCTAACACCTGTCTCATTGGCACATAGGCTTTTCAGAGGATCTCTTAGGGGTCAAGAATAGAATCTACCGGGGGTGGCTCACATAGTGTGGGGGTGGCTCCATAGTGTAGTGGTTAGCACATCTGCTTTACCTGCGTTCACGCCCCAGGTGGAGCCACAGACCATACCCCGGGTTTGCTAGGCCCCCCAGAGTATGCCAGGCCCTGGGTGCACTATGCTAGCGTGTGGGAGGAGATGCCCCACCTTCAGAGATCTAGATCTTAAGGGGAAACAGCAATATCCATAGGTCAGGGGTGGAAGTAGGGGGCGGGGAATTAAAGAGAGGGAAAAAAATTTTTTTAAATAATAAAAAAATTGAAAAATAAAAAAATAAAAAGAATAGGATCTACCTATTGCTCTAGAATCTCTAGGCTATATTTAATTTCTTTTAAAAATCACAGTTGCTTTAGAACCGTTTTGTCCAGTATTCATCAGGTGTTATCTACTCAAAATGAGCATCAAGAACTGCTATCACCTCAAATGCCTGTGAGTGATTAGATTTTAATGATGAACAGCATGAATACATCCATATTTAGGGATGCAACAAGAGTTTTTTTAATGAGATCATGGGTGTGTCATGAGCTATGCAACCATTAGCCAAAACAAAATTCTACTTAATTGGCTAAAAGATAAACAGGAGGGGTCATCAGCACCTGGTTAGGGTATATAAAGGGCCCCGATGGGAGGAAGACATTCACACCTGAGAACACCCATCTCCTCTCACCAGCCAAACCCAGTCCAGCTCCAGACACCACCATGACCAGCTCTTGCTGTGGCTCCACCTGCTCAAGCTGTGGCGGAGGCTGCTGCCAGCCCTGTTGCTGCCAGCCATGCTGCTGCCGCGACCCCTGCTGCTGCCGCCCCTGCTGCTGCCAGACCACCGTGTGCCGCCCCGTGACCTGCGTGCCCCGCTGCACGCGCCCCATCTGCGAGCCCTGCCGCCGCCCCGTCTGCTGTGACCCCTGCGGCCTGCAGGAGGGCTGCTGCCGCCCCATCGCCTGCTGCCCCACGTCCTGCACGGCCGTGGTCTGCCGCCCCTGCTGCTGGGCCTCCACCTGCTGCCAGCCCATCTGCGTGCAGGCCCCCTGCTGCCGGCCCCCCTGCTGCCAGCCGGCCCCCTGCCGCAGCACCTGCAGGACCTCCCCCCGCTGCTGCTGCTGCTGAGTGATGAACTGTCTCCCTAAAGCAATCAACCTTCTGAAAAAGTCATACTCCCATTTCTCTACCCGACAAAATTCCTGCACTAGGCCATCAAGACCCCAAGTCAACCAGGTGCTGCATGGAGACCCAGATTCATCGATTACGACTTGGGCTATTCTCAAGTCTTTGTAGTAGTAGCCAGCAAGTTCCTTCCTCCCATCTTAGATCGTAGGTCTTGTGGCATGCTTGTTTTCTAATAAACTTCTCTTCTTTGGCCTAGCAAACAGCTTTAATTTTACTTATTCATTCTATTCTTTTTATTAAATTTTAATATAACAAAAATGTGCTGATTCCTACAATCTGCAAGTTATAGATGGTATGGTAAATGATAGAAATTAAAATTGAGTTAAAAATGTTCCCCTCTTCAAGAAACTTCCAAGGAGTCGAATCAAATTCACAATATCACAACTAACAATTAGTATGTGGAAAAATAAAAGTATAACACTGTATGATATCAACAGAAAAATCACTATTGATTGGGGTGAACGAGGAAGATTGAAAGGGGAAACTAGCATTTTATAAGGGTTAAGATTTTGGGGTGCAGATTTGAGAGAAGGTGACATTCTCAACAATGGAAACAGTATGCACAAAGGTATAGAGAGGGGTTGTTCGTGGGATAATTAGCTGGGAGCACTAGGTATACATAGAGTAATAGTGAAAGGTAAATTTGGAATACGTGTGTTTTTTGAACACTAACCAAATAACATCCTTAAAGCAATTAGCACTAAGGAGCCATTGAAAGCGTTGAGGCAGGAAAATGGCATCATAGGAGATGGGCATTAGGGTGATTCTTACGGTCACTGCTTATAAAAACAGAAGGCCAAAGGCTTGACAGAATGACTATGCAGAACAAATCAAGAATCCATTGCCCTGGTCCAAGTGACACATAAGAAGAGCTGAACTAAGATAATGGCCGTGGGATAAAGAAGACACAGAGAGTATGGCAGACATAAAAACCCAGGAGAAATATTAACTAATCTAAATGTAAGAAACAAAAAACAATTAGGAAGCAAATGTGACTTATTCCAGTTCCAGGGGAAACTCTTCTGGTCAAAAGACACTGGAAAAGATTTTAACATATTTATGTTGATTTATTGTGTTTAAAATCACTACTCTATAGTACATTTTGCCTGCCACCAATATTTCTATTCTTGAGCTATTATAAATATTTCTTTAAAAAATAGACAAAGAAGTTTACTACCTCTAACTGCTCTTAGAAAGCAGCATGGTATAAAATAAAATGAACTAATCTAGGAATAAAGAATAGGAATTTTATACCCAGCTTTTCTGGCTATGTACAGGCTGTGTGAATAGAGCAAGTCACTAACCTCTCCAAAATACCGCCATTCTTAGACTTGTTAGTATTTTAACATCAATTGATACTGAGAAGAAATTAAAAGTAGTTCATACCACAATATCAATGTTCCACTTTAGAATTTTGAGGTTGAATGGGTCTATGTTTGACTCTTTTCCTTGATAGGAGGGCCTATCAATACTACACTGATTTGTACACTAGTGCAAGATATGAGACAGACAGATTAGGTCTTGCTTTCTGCATAACCCTTTAGTGTTTCATGCATAATAGGATTTAATAAACATGTGCTATTTATAAGAAGAATGATGTCACTTTCTACATCTATAAAATTAAATAGTTGGACAAGATTATTTATTAAATTTTTGATCTCCAATATGTGATGATTCTATCTAACCATTTTTCGACTTCATATCTACAGTCATGGTTATCATATGACACGATTATATTTATTAACACTGGCATGAATCACATTCTAATTCTATCATTGTACAAACCAACACCTCTACCTCATAAAAGCCACCTACGTGCTTCTATGCATGATCAGAAAGGCAGAATAAGCCTACCACAAGTAGCAATAATATGTTCTTTTGACCACAACTTTTTTCATTTCCCTCCATGTAAACTTCCAATGAAAAATCACATTCATTCTTCTAGCAACCACCAGAAATTGTTTCAATTTTTATTTTTGCTAAAATTTATGTTAAACTTTTCGTATTTATACTTATTGAATGATATTTGATCATTCTTTTCCTAACCTGCCTTATAAGCCCTGTGATCCAGAAAAAGTATTTCCTAATTTCTACTTTTTCTTTTATTGCTTCCCCTTTATAAATTCAGTTGTTGTGCTCTTCGGCCTGATATTCTTTCATAAGACACAAGGTATAGTTACATAAAATGGTGTAAACCGAAATGAATCCCACCTTTGAGGAATAAATACTGTCCAAATAAACCATCGTGTTTCATAGAGAGATATAAATTATAGTTAAATGTTTTGTGATTTTTTCCCCTAAATACTGGATATGAATTTTAGCCCTTATTTTAAATTTGTGCAAACAAAATATCCATAGTTAATTGGAATGAAACAGGTTTTGTTCCATATATACACCTGAATGATGAATGTTTACTCAAGGCTGAATGTGTGAAGATCAGGAGAGAGCATAGAGATTGGAGAGATCCAATTTCTGGAAAGACCTATGAATTTCGATGAATGTGGAGTTAATCAGAGTTTCTATCTGGGTGATTATAGAGACTATAATCTTATTAATCTAAGAAAATATAAAGATAGCTTTACATAAAGAACAGTCAACGGTTAATAAGGTTTTGCTGGAGACTTGAGTTTTTGGTGAATATGACCTCAAATTCACATCATCTCATGAGTGAGAGTCACTTTGTCAGGTGAAAATTACAGCATTGTTTGAAAACAAAACAACAACTCTACCAAGCACTACCAAACACATTTGGTGAGTACTAGCTGAGCAATAAGGAAAAACCAATTTGGAGATATATTTAAAATAACTCAGTATTTGAACAATCATTGGACCCCGGGAAAGCTTGTTTAAAGAGTAATAATATAAAAATGTCATCTGTCACAAATACAGGAACTGGCCAAGGCCTATAAAAGGCCCAAGTGGAACAAGCAGCCCTAACTCAGAAACTTCTCCAAGCAACTCAACTCTCAACCCGACTCCTGACACCATGGCCTGCTGCACCACTAGCTTCTGTGGATTTCCCAGCTGCTCCACTGGTGGGACCTGTGGCTCCAGCTGCTGCCGGCCAAGCTGCTGCCAGCCTACCTGCTGCCAGACCAGCTGCTGCCAGCCAACCTGCTGCCAGACCAGCTGCTGCCAGCCAACTTGCTGTCAGACCAGCTGCTGCCAGCCAACCTGCTGCCAGCCAACCTGCTGCCAGACCAGCTGTTGCGGGACCAGCTGCGGGACCGGCTATGGCATCGGCTGTGGCCAAGAGGGTGGCTGTGGAGCTGTGAGCTGTCGCACCAGGTGGTGCCGCCCTGACTGCCGCGTGGAGGACACCTGCCTGCCCCCCTGCTGTGTGGTGAGCTGCACACCACCAACCTGCTGCCAGCTGCACCACGCCCAGGCCTCCTGCTGCCGCCCATCCTACTGTGGACAGTCCTGCTGCCGCCCAGCCTGCTGCTGCTACTGCTGCGAGCCTACCTGCTGTGAGCCTACTTGCTGCCAGTCCACCTGTTGAAAACTTTCTTCTGAATGGAAGCCTGAGAAAACGGCACATCCAAACTAACAAATATAGAGTCCCAACACACTTTTGAGCTTCAATACCCATAACCCAGCTTGCAAACCCTTGTCACATGGCTATATACCTTCCCTAAGATATAAATTAATTTATAATAGAAGGCCGAAAATACTTCGTAGATGTGGATACCAACAGAAGTCCTACAAAGTGAAAAGGGTGTATAATACATTACTATACATATAATCTGAAATATTTCAACATCTGATTGGGTCTGGGATTTAATAAAATTTTTCATTCTTCAGTGATGGAGTCATTGTTTTAGAATTTTTTGGAATTTGTTATTGATATTGAGGTACTAAGATTTTTCAAAATCTCAGTAAGTGTAGCATGGTACTACGATTTTCATTTATTATTATGCCTTCATTAATGATCTTTAAAAGGTGATTTTGCTTTGTTTTGTCATGAAATGGTCTGATGTTCTGCAGCCAAAATGTATGATTAAAAGAATACATCAGTATTTATGAACTATTTCCCGAGGTCCTCAAATACACAGTTGATGGGCTAAGTGTTCCAGAAGATCAATTTTACAAAAAGGAATTTTATGTCATTTAGCTTCTTGAGGATATTGCCAAATCCATTCATTCCATTCATATATGATTTTGTGTACAATTCTTTCACTATCAGGGATATAAAAAGGAAAATGCATAACTGGAAAGGCAGTAAACACATATTTTACAATAATACATAATATGTAAAGGAATCCTGAATTCTAGACCCCAACCTGTAACAACAATCCATGAATTCTTGAGCAATCCCTTCACCTGCCTGGGCACCTATTTCTAACCTGTAAAGTGAAAGAATGGAATTTTACTACTTATAACGTCCCTTCCAGGCATGGGGTAAGCCGGTCATTTCCTAAACAGGTAACACACTGACAATCAGTCCCTTCAGATGCCCGAAGAAGAAAAATATTCAATGGTCAAATATCAGTGCATGTGTTATCACCATCTTGAAGGTTTATATAAAAAGCACGTTAGAATATTAAAGAAACCAAGATGTCCTGCAAAAAGGAACCTCTATAACCATCACTCCCAAACAGATTTAACCAGGGAATCCTCTATTCACTTTTCATCAACTAACATCCTGCAGCACTAGTGTTCATCAAAATATATTTAGAAAATGACTAAAGGGAATTTCAACTGATGTTTTCATAATACCTATACAATTCTCTCATGTGAAGCAGAAAATAAATGTCCATTACAGCGATGGATTTAAATGAACATCACACTACCCCCATTCTTATTCTAATCTCCAGAGAGAGTTCTAGAATTAAAAAAAGGATGAAATAAAAGACATGTAATGGAGCTTCCATTCTAATAGATAAAATCTTTGGGGTCTTAAAATCAAAATGGTGAGCCAACAGCTAGAGGTAGAGGGGAATGGGGTGTGATTACTTAAGGGTTATTAGGTATTCCTCTGGGGCGATGAAAAAGTTTTGAAACTAGAGAGAAGAGTGACAGTTGCACAACGTTGTGAACGCACTAAATGCTACTCGATCGCACATTTCAAAATGGTTACTTTACATTATGTGAATTTCACCTCATTTTTTTTAAATCAAGAGATGGGATCTCTACTAGCACAACATTACCAGAATTAGAAAAAGCCACCACCTTCGGCTAGACAGCCCAAGTAATACAGAGCTTGTTGAGCCTACAAGGTCTCCTTCCTCTTAGTGGGCAGAGCACAATCCACATATTCATATACAACGCTTCTAAAATGTGGTCCACACTCTATTCCCATCATCTACTACTCTCTTGCCTTCTACCAGGTTGGATGATTTAGATTGGTTGCACTTTTTACTCAGAAGGGCTTCAGCTCAGAAGCTCCAAAAAGAACCAGGTTGGAATTCAGGAGAGAAAAGAAAGATCTTGTTACTTGGTTTGGGGTAAAAATTTTGGGGTGTTCATTTGGTTAGTGCATCAACTGTGTTTTATCTCTCAGGAATCTAAGTAAGGCAGATACAGCCAATTTAGAGAAGTGATTAAGTGGAATTTAAAGAATTAGAAGAACACCCTAAACTTATGACTAGAAAAATGAAACCCTGACATCTTAAAGAAAAATAACTCTACACATCAATATCTATAAACACAAGGCAAAAATTCAAGCATAATAACAACAACAACAAAAACACATCCTCTCTTCTTATTGTCTTGGAACAGTCTGGGTACCATAACTTAAATGAAATAATTAAAACCAAAAAGAATAGGCATAGTAATTATATTATAAAAAGCTTTAAATGTAAAGGTACTAGTTTTTTTGTTGTTTTTTTTTTCCCCCCTCAATGAAGACCAGGATAGGAGTCTCCAATATCTAAACAGGATAAAAAATCTGCACTGGGGAAGACCACAAATAATTATAACTTCTAACTCTATTTTTATGACAACCAATCAGAAGAATGGATTTAAGTGGTAGGGGGAAAGAACTTGGTTTTCTTTATTTAGGGGAGGTGAGGGAATGTTCAGATTAGTCTTCATTCTGTGGCAGAGGAATAGAATTCTCAAATTTTAAGTATCATAATAACAAATTTTAAGTATCATTTAAGTATCACATATTTATGTGATGGTTAACTTTATGTATCAACTTGATTGGGCTAAGGGATACCCAGATAGCTGGTAAAACATTACATCTGGGTGTTTTCAGAAGAGATTAGCATTTGACCTGTAGACTGTGTAAAGAAGATGGATCACCCTCGCCAACACAGCCAGGTATCAATTAATCCACTGAGGGCCTGAATAAAACAAAAAAGGCAGAGGAAAGGCAAATTTGTTCTCTTGCTCGAGCTGTGACATCCATCTTTAGATTGGATGCAACTTTTACTATAGAATATTCTAAAATCAAAGATTAGATAAAGTCACAAGTCAAGTAGGTAAACTCTTTTAGCACTTAAGATTTTCTTGAAGCCTGGGGCATTCAAGAAATGCCCCAGGAGGGATTCTGACGGATCCTGAGTCTAACTTCCTCTCTGCGGTTTGCAGGGTTCTGAGTAAGGTCAGGCCACCCAGGCTTAGAGAAAAACATTCCTCGATCGGCCCAGCCATGGCGAGCACCACTCCAGCTGCAGACCCAGTGACTAGCTCAGCTGGCAGGGGTTCTGCCTGGCCAGATCTCAGTGCTCCCTGAAAGCTTCTACTAAAGCTTTTCCTTGTGGAACCAAAACCACTTGCTAGGTAGTTCTTACTAGAAAAACCTCAGACTTAAGCGCAGCAGCCTACGGGAAAATGTCAGGTTTTACTCTAAAGCCAAAGATGGGGGAAGAAGCAGTGTTTGGGGGTTTTGTAGTAAGATTAAATCCTTAAATCTGTGAATATGCGATGTTAATGTTACCTTATGTTTGTATCAAGATTAGAAATATGCAACTGGCTTTCCAAACCATGATACTATTGATACTATTGAATCTGTAAAAAATGCAAAGGATAGTTTTCCTCCTACACACAATTTTAAATAGAAAACAACTGCATTTTGCTACTCTAAAAACTGCATTTTGCTACTCTAAATAAAATCTGTTTAGGAGCTAAAAAAAATTTTCTTGAACTGTGTTTATTATACAATTAAAAAAATTAAATTAAATCTCCAGAGAAATCTCTATTAAACAATGTTATTACTCGCCCTAAACTCTGCCTTTCTTCTCTTTGCTCTCAAAAAGTCTGTTAGAAAGGGGGCAAATTTTCACATTTTGCTTCCGCTCTTTGATTTTCCTTAGAAGACCTGCTTACATAGAAAAGAGAGACTTGGCTGTATTGGTTTAAAGAGTTTAGTCTGGAGTCAGATGGCATGGGTTCAAATTTTCAATTCACCACTTGTCAGTGTGAACTTGGGTGAATGACTTAAATCTGTTTGTGGCTCAGTTTCCTCAGATGGATGACAGAATAGCAATGATATCTACCTGGGAGAACTGCTGTGAAAATCAAATGAATTGATGCAAAGTGCCAGAACTGTTTGGACATATAAGTGCCCCCAAAATATTATCAGTAACAAGCCATCCATATTTCCCAGACTTCAATGAAAGCATTCCTTTCTGGCCAGCTGAATCACTTTGCTTCTCTGGCAAAGATGAGAAGGGGCAGCAGTCAACATCGGAGGCTACGTTGCTGAGAATTAAACTGCTGTGTGAGACCCAAGAGCTCAATTATTAGGGTCAACACTGAGTAATTTTGACACTCCTTAAAGGTGAGGCATCAGCCAGTTGTTCTTTGGGCAACGAGCAAATTTTAACAAATATGGAAAATTAGGGGTTATATTCTCAATGAATGCTAATGACTACTTGACAACGGTAAAGAATCCTAATTGAGGACCAGCAAAATCAATTTTTAAAGGCTTTAAGAAGGTTGAACAAATAACTCAGGGTCAGGGCAATTATCATTCAGAAACAAGTTATTTAAACACAAACAAGGAAGAGTCTTTGGGAATTACGTAAATAATAGCTGGCCAAGGCTTATAAAAGGCCCAGTGTGGAAGTCATCGCCAAAACTAAAAAATTTCTCAAAGCAACCCAAATCCTGACACCATGGCCTGCTGCACCACTAGCTTCTGTGGATTTCCCAGCTGCTCCACTGGTGGGACCTGTGGCTCCAGCTGCTGCCCACCAAGCTGCTGCCAGCCTACCTGCTGCCAGCCCAGCGGCTGCCAGCCAAGCTGCTGCCAGACCAGCTGCTGCCAGCCAACCTGCTGCCAGACCAGCTGTTGCGGGACCAGCTGCGGGACCGGCTATGGCATCGGAGAGGGTGGCTGTGGAGCTGTGAGCTGTCGCACCAGGTGGTGCCGCCCTGACTGCCGCGTGGAGGACACCTGCCTGCCCCCCTGCTGTGTGGTGAGCTGCACACCACCAACCTGCTGCCAGCTGCACCACGCCCAGGCCTCCTGCTGCCGCCCATCCTACTGTGGACAGTCCTGCTGCCGCCCAGCCTGCTGCTGCTACTGCTGCGAGCCCACCTGTTGCCAGCCCACCTGCTAAAAGCCAGGTTGCTGATTTTCAACTTGAAGTTTCAACTTCCAACTCAATCCATGAACTAATTATCTCTTCAACCACCCCTGGCCTACTAACAAGTTCTTGAACTTTTTATTTGGCTTTTGTTGTGGGAGTTACCGAATATTTGGGTCTCACAGACCTATCTCCCTCACAGACCTTGATCTCCCCACTGAAGCTGCCAAAATACAAATTTGATTCAAGAAATGGAAAAACCAATTTGCCTTCGGATTGACCTTCAGCAAGAATTCGATGCTTCTCTCTGTGGCTTAGTGCTTGCCAAGGCCGTGGAAGAACCGTCTCTCCTTTTCAGATACATTCACCTCCTATACTGCACTGTCCTGCAGATTGTACTTCTTATGAAAGGGGAATAATATACCAAGGTCTAATAAATTATATCTATTTCTTCATTGAGTGTGTTCATGATGTATATTTCATAGAAAGTCATACAATCGATTTTAATCTGGTTTTGCTATCCCACACTGCTCTTCTCATACCATGTTAGGAAAGCTGATCAGATCCAGCGGGGGTTAATCCCCATAAAAAGATAGAGCAAAGGCAGTTCTATGGCCTCAGAAATGGCACATGACCATATCCTGGCATCACACAGTGCCTTCAAAATCAGAAAGCTACAGAAGTCAGGACTTCTGAAACTAGAGCCAGAATATGACTTATTTTGTTACGTCTTTTAGAGGAATGCTCTTTCAGGCAATCTTCAAACAATGGTAATATATGCTAAGATATCGTACTCTTCCATTTACATGTGACCTTGCAGAGTAAAGCAAGAGATTATAAATTGGGGCTATCTCTTTGAAGAAATGGGCTTTCGATTAGAGGGAGATTTTTACCCCAAAAACTTTTTTCCCCAGTTTCTAAACTGAAAGTGAGGATAATAAAGATATTACTCTGTTTTTGGAACTGACATATCTACTTTGGTTTAAAATGTTTACTCAGAAATACACACAAATTAGTATACATGCATTTATATATAAAATACAAATAAAATGAATTTATACATATTTAAACATTAAGTATCACGGAATGCTTCATAAACGTGGGTGGTTTGGGCAAAAGGATGAGGATTAACTCCTGGTTCCTTGGGATTAAAACTCAAGGGGAGAGACTGAAGATATTCGTTTTAATTAAGAATATTACTTTGGTTAAAATTACAATGCTTTATTCATTCGAGGGGCAGTGAAAATCGAGTAATTAGAAAAGACCTGATCCAATCCAGAAAACAACAGAACAGAAATGAAAACATGTTTTGTCCTCCTGCCCCTTTGGTTCTAACTACTGACCACTTTCAGGTATTACTACCTAACAGCTCCTACTGAGAAGAAAATATAAACTAAAATGACAAGTCGCTTTGGTAAAATGCAAATTTGGCTATTTAGCATGACCATACACTGCTAATCATTCATTCTCTCTTTTATTCAACAAGCATTTACTAAACATTGACCTACAAAATGGTACAGAAGATACTGTGTAGGATACCAAGATGAAGCAGACATGGCCAGATCATGCCTTCAGGAATTTTGGCCCTGGAGGTATCTGAGAGATAATCTCATTTTACAGATGAACAAACTAATGTTCAGAGGGATTAAGTGACTTTTCTGAGGTTCACAGTCACTTAAATGTAGAACCAGTTTGAGAAGCCTATTTAGTTTAATTAATTTAATTCTCAGTTAAGAGCTCAGTCCCTTACATCAAATGACCGACCACCTCTAACCACCTAACTCTGGACCTGTTTTAAGTTACTTTCAGCTTAAAATTCTATGATTTTTTTAAAAGTTAAAGGCACAAACTAAAAATGATTGAGGATTTATCAATAGAGGATGACTGAATAAAGTGTGCTATGTTCATACTCTGAAATACGGCACAGCTTTTTAAAAGATTGACTAATGTGTATTGGACAGGGCAACAAATTGAAAAACCTAGATGAAAGAGAAAATTCCAATCAAAACTGAATCCTGAAGAAATAGAAAAACTTGAACAGATCTATAATAAGGAGATTGAATCAGTAATCAAAAAAAAAAAAAAAAAAAAAAACCCAAAAGAGAAAATCTCAGTATCAGAAGGCTTCAGTGATGAATTCTACCAAATGTTTCATGAAAAATTAACATGAATCCTCTTCAAACTCCTCCAAAAAAATCGAAGAGGAGGGAACACTTCCAAATTCATCCTATGAAGTCAGCATTACCCTGATACCAAAGCCAGATAAAGACACTACAAGACAACTACAGACCAATATCCCTGTGAATGTTGATGCGAAATTCCTCAACAAAATACTATCAAACAGAATTCAAAAGCACATTAAAAGGATTATACACTATGACCAAGTAAAATTTTATCCTAGAATGTAAGGATGGTTCAAGATATGAAAACCAATCAATGCAATATATCACATAGCAGAATGAAGAGTGGGGAAACTCATGGTTATCTCAATAGATAGACAGAAAACATCTAATGAAATTCAACACTCTTTTATTATTAAAAAGAACACTTAGCAAACTATAAATAGAAAGAAATTTCCTCAGCATAATAAAAGCCATATATGAAAAGCCCACACTAACATCAACTCAATGGTAAAAGACTGAAAGCTTTTCCTCTAAGTTCGGGAACAGAAGGGTTCCCACTTTCACTTTTTCTATTTACCATAGTATTGGAAATCCTACCCAGAGCAATTAGGAAAGAAAAAGAAATAAAAGGCATCCAAATAAGAAAGAATGAAGTAAAATTGTCTCTATTTGCTGATGACACAATATTACATATAGAAAACCCTAAAGATGCCACCAAAATACTGTTGAACTAATGAATGTATTCAGTAAAGTTGCAGTATATGAAATCAATACACAAAATCAGTTGCGTTTCTCTACATTATTAATCTATCAGAAAAAGAAATTAAGAAAACAATTCCATTTACAATGGCATCGAAAAGAATGAAATACTTTGGAATAAATGTAACTAAGGAAGAGAAGGATTTCCACACTGAAAAATATAAGGCATTAATGAAATAAATTGAAAAAAAAAAAACACACACACACAAATAAATGAAAGGTGTTCCATGCTCATGGACTGGAAGAATTAATATTGTTAAAATATCCGTACTTAGCTAAAATGGTCTAAAGATTCAATGCAATCCCTATTTAAATTCTAATGGCATTTATCACAGAAATGGATAAAACAATCCTAAAATTTGTATGGAGCCACAAAAGACCCCAAATATCCAAAACAATCTTTAGAAGGAAGAATAAAGCTGGAAGCATCACATTTCCTGATTACAAACTATGTTACAAAGCTGTAATAATCCAAAGAGTATGGTACTGACATAAAGGCAGACATATAGATAAAAAGAATAGAGAGCCTAGAAAAGATAATCTTCACATATAGGACCAAACGATTTTTAACAAGGGCGCCAAGGGGAAAAGACAGTATTTTCAACAAATGGTGCTGGGTAAACTGGATATCCACATGAAAAAAAAAAAATGAAGCTGTACCCTAAACCATGTACAAAACATTAAACCGAAAACTGGATATCCACATAAAAAATAATAATAATAAAGCTGTACCCTAAACCATGTACAAAACATTAAACCATATACAAAAATTAACTCAAAATGGATCAAAGAACTAAATATAAAAGCAAAAACTCTTAGAAGAAAACATAGAGGGAAAGCTTCATGATGTTAGATTTAGCAGTGATTTCTTGGATATGACGTCAAAAGCATAGGTAGCAGAAGTAAAAAATAAATAAATTGAACTACATCAAAATTTAAAACTTCTGTGCATTGAAGAACACAATTAACAAAATGAAAAGGAAACCTATAAAATGGGAGAAAATATTTGCAAATTATATATCCAGTTAGGGGTTAGTATCCAGAACACACAAAGAACTCCTAAACTCAACAAAAACAACAACAAAACAATTAAAAATTGGGCAAAAGACATAAATGGACATTTCTCCAAATAAGATATGCGAATGGTCAAGAAGCACATGAAAAGATGTTCAATATCACTAATAATTGGGAAAATTTGAATAAAAACCACAATGACATGCCACCTCACACCCATTAGTAGGGCTACTCAAAAAAACCAAAAGTGTTGGCAAGGATGTGGAGAAATTGGAATTCTTGTGCATTGTTGGTAGAAATGTAGAATAGTATAGCCACCATGGGAAATAGTATGGCAATTACTCAAAAAACTAAAAATAGAACTACTATATAAACCAGCAATTCCGCTTCTGGTATAAACCCCAAAGAATTGAAAGCACAGTCTTGAAGAGATATTTGTACCCCTATGTTCATGATAGCTGTTGGAGGAGGTAATCAAAAGAACAGGACCACCGGTTGACCTAAGAGCTGGACCCAAGCATTCAAAGGCTCCTCACCTCCTCCCCTGTCCTTGGAATGTACTCTCTGCTTACCATTCCCACAATGAGATCTGTTTTCAAGGACGAAGCCTTTAGAGAGCAATGCATTATTGACCACCTGAATGGTACACGTGACTGAACTCAATTAAAGCCTCCATACAAACTTTTAAGATTGGGCAGGTGGGTGCAGCTATCTGCTTGTCTTGTGGTCAACCAAGACAAGCCTCATAAGTAAGTTTTCTTGCTTTTCAAGCCTGCCACCTACCAATCTGGAGTGGTCTGCCTCTTTCTTTGGTCTCTCCTTGCCCTTCATGTATGGGGGCCAGTTTGTAAAACCAAAAGCAGCATTAATCACATAGCCAAGAGGTAGAAACAACTCAAGTGTCTGTTGATGGATGGATGAATGGATAAACACATTGTAGTGACACATACAATGGAATTTATTCAGCCTTAAAAGGGAAGAAAATTCTGACACATTCTACAATATGGATGAATCTTAAAAACATTATGCTAAGTGAAATAAGCCAGTCACAAAAAGATAAATACTGTATGATTCCACTTACATGAGGTACTTAGATTGATCAAAATCATCCAGATACAAAGAAGAATAGTGGTTGTTAAGGATTTGAGGAGGAGAGAATGGGAAAGTTGTTTCATGAATATAGAGTTTCCGTTTTGCAAGATAAAAAGAATTCACAATGTAAATTTACTTAATATTAGTGAACTGTACTCTTAAAGATCCTTAAGATGGTAACTTTTATGTTATGTGTATTTTACCATAATTAATTTTTAAAATAAATATGTATAGAAGACCCCAACTTTACTGACTAGAAGATATATGTGTATATATGCTGGTTTATAAGCAGGAAGGAAAGTATTAAAGAATATGCACTTAATCTTGATTATCTCTAGAATACTAGTTTTGGAAGGGATGTGTGTGTTTGGGGGAAAGGAGGGAAAATATTAACTTCTCTATCTGAGCCTTTGTACTGTTTGACTTGTGAAAATGTGTACTCATCACGAGCATATATTTTTAATTTAGTAGAGTCAGAAAACAGTCTATAGGCTAACGTCACTGAGGGTCTCAGTTGGGAACACGTACATTGATGACTGAAGGCAAAAATGCCCTTTAGAGCTCTGAGATTCTACAACTTGCACACTCTGATCATAGAAAGGCATACTTCTTTTGGATGTTGATGAATCAGGTGATAACTCATGTTTTGATGACACTGATGTTAGTTATTCCAAGTCTGGACAACTTGATTATGAAATCATGATCCTTAATTGAGTGACCACCTTGGCAGAAAATGTCTAAATAAACTCTGTCTTATGGTTATCAAAGGAAGGATATCACAAAGCAAGCCAGGGCAGTGGTTGGCACAAGTCTTATCTGTCACGTGACTAACATAAAGAGGTGCTGCCATGATTGGCTTCCATAATGAGCCTTCACTTGATCCAGAGGGCAAAGAAGAAATATAATGATACTTAATTTAGCAATGACCAAAGCAGGCTATTAAAGTGCTATTTATAATTTTCTAAACAACTCAAGTATTAGCCAATCAGAAACTAACTTTGCAAATACTATCAAGGAAAGATGCTAAAGGCTAGGGAAATAGGTGGCTCTGGGAACTATATAAAAGGCCAGTTGTAGAAGATGCAGCCAAAACTCAGAAACTTCTCTTAACACAACTCTCAACCCAACTCTTGACACCATGGCCTGTTGCACCACTAGCTTTTGTGGATTTCCCAGCTGCTCTACCGGTGGGACCTGTGGCTCCAGCTGCTGCCGGCCAAGCTGCTGCCAGACCAGCTGCTGCCAGCCAACCTGCTGTCAGACCAGCTGCTGCGGGACAGGCTGTGGGACTGGCTGCGGGACGGGCTGCGGGACCGGCTGTGGCATCGGCTGTGGCCGGGAGGGTGGCTGTGGAGCTGTGAGCTGTCGCACCAGGTGGTGCCGCCCTGACTGCCGCGTGGAGGACACCTGCCTGCCCCCCTGCTGTGTGGTGAGCTGCACACCACCAACCTGCTGCCAGCTGCACCATGCCCAGGCCTCCTGCTGCCGCCCATCCTACTGTGGACAGTCCTGCTGCCGCCCAGCCTGCTGCTGCTACTGCTGCGAGCCCACCTGCTGTGAGCCTACTTGCTGCCAGCCCACCTGCTGTGAGCCCACCTGCTAAAAGCCAGGTTGCTGATTACTTAAGAATGAAAGGAGAAGTACAGCAAAATTGCGTTAGTATCTGAAGAAGTGTTCAATTTTATTTGGATACTAAGTAGCACAATGTTTTTAAGCTGCTCAGAAATAACAAAAGTCTTAGGACCCTCTTGGATGTGCTGAGTTAGCACACTGAAAATGTGTTAATCAGAGTGTCAAATCAGTGACATCTTTATTCTCCTCCTTATTTCCTGATCCCCACACATTTTCAGACCTGCTTTCTCCTTGAATATCCTCTGTTAATTTCAAATAAAATGTTTCAATGTGCAAAGCAAACTGAGTTATTTTCTTCCTTCTATTTAAGCTTGTCCATCTTTAGTTTAAATTCAAGAAGAGTGGATTTGCACTTTGATAATAAACGTAAAGTCTAAACCAGAAAGATTAAATACAAATTACATTAGGCTTACATCTATCAGTTAATAAAATGCTCCATACCTTAAATAATGTTTGAAGTTATTTAAGTACTTACATGCTCTAATCTAATTATGGTTATGTCTAGACCAATAAGAACACTTTTAACTAAAATTTTCAGGCTGATCAAAGCTATAGGATTTCTACCTAGATGCATTTCTACCATTTTAAATCTCCTTGCATTTAATATACTAAATGTTCTCCTTCATATATGCCCAATATCTAAAGAACTACATTAATTACTAGATTTTAAAATATCTACCAGATACTATACATCAGATACTATCTGTTTTCCAAGATCATTTAGGTTTAATTCCTATGCCTTAGCCTATTATATTCTTCCCACTGATTCCCAAATTGTTCTCTAAGCTTCAATGCCCAGCACTTACCTCCATTCGCTCTAAGTATGTATAAGGTGTATAAGGTCTACATGAGAATAGAATAAACAGCTATGTAGATACCCAGTGAGTCCCACTATCACCACATGTCAGACACATACATTAGAAATCTGAAACAACTATATATTTTGCACTTTGCAACCCAATTTCAAAGATGTTCTCTTAAGAAGTTAACCTAGATCTAAAAATATCTTTTACCAATTAATTTTCAATTACTCATTAAGTATTTGAGTGAAAAATACAAAATACAACACTTTATGAAAAATATTTTCTGAGTTATTTATGAAAAATATTTTCTGAGTTATTTATGAAAAATATTTTCTGAGTTATTTACAAGCTCCCAGCACTTACCTCTATCATTTAATTGGTAGCAATGATAGATCGCATACGAGATTACACATTTCAGAGAAGAAAAACATGAATTCTTCAAAACGTCACAACTCCCAGATGTTTTTCCTGAGCCTTGGTTCAACTATTAAATGTAGAAAAAATTTTCAGCATTTCCCAGTCTCTTTTGACAATAACAAGGACTCCTTCGTGAGAAATACTTCAGCTTGAAAGTTCTATTTAATCATGTATAAGTGGCACAGGCATCCATGAATCATGCCTTTTACTCCACCCACTCCAAATCATATTCAAAAAACATTTATTAAGGTACTGCCAGAAGCTAAGCACACTGCTAGATACTCATATATACAATGTCATTTGGTTCACCAGAAGAGATTTCTGGCCTGGAATGCAAACAATATTTGCACATTTCAAATTGGTTGAAATCAAAGGAACTATAATGGTAATTGAAGTAAATAAGTTGAAAACTAAATTATGCATGACTAAAGGTACTCTTTCAATTCAGTGGATGCCGTGATGTCCTAAATTCAATAATATTTTGTCTATACATCCAGAAGGAAAAAATTATAGTTAGAAAAAGGAGCATAATTACCCTTAGCCTTAGAGATGTGGACCGAGTGTCATGTGAAATAAATAGCTCTACAAAGCAAAGGTGTTGACGTGGACTAAAATGGGAGGACTCTTTGAACATGGGAAACCACAAACATATTCCAAAGAGCAAAGGACCAATATGAGGAGTCCAAATGAAACTATAAAACAATTTCTAAACTGCTGCTCATAATGTGTCATGGTATTTCAATGTTAGCCAATCAGAGGACCACTGAAGAACAAATTTAAACAAAAACAAGGAAAATATGTTAAGAATTGTATAAATAGCAACTGACCAGGATATATAAAGGGCCCGATGTAGAAGTCACCAGCAAAACTCCCCCAAGCAACCTGACTCTCAACCCAACTCCTGACACCATGGCCTGCTGCACCACTAGCTTTTGTGGATTTCCCAGCTGCTCCACTGGTGGGACCTGTGGCTCCAGCTGCTGCCGGCCAAGCTGCTGCCAGACCAGCTGCTGCCAGCCAACCTGCTGTCAGACCAGCTGCTGCAGGACCGGCTGTGGGACCGGCTGTGGGACCGGCTATGGCATCGGCTATGGCCAGGAGGGTCAGCTGTGGGACCGGCTGTGGGACCAGCTATGGCATCGGCTATGGCCAGGAGGGTGGCTGTGGAGCTGTGAGCTGTCGCACCAGGTGGTGCCGCCCTGACTGCCGCGTGGAGGACACCTGCCTGCCCCCCTGCTGTGTGGTGAGCTGCACACCACCAACCTGCTGCCAGCTGCACCACGCCCAGGCCTCCTGCTGCCGCCCATCCTACTGTGGACAGTCCTGCTGCCGCCCAGCCTGCTGCTGCTACTGCTGCGAGCCCACCTGTTGCCAGCCCACCTGCTAAAAGCCAAGTTGTTGATTTTCAATTGCCCAGGACACAGTATCTCTGAACGGTTTATCTCCTCAACCATCCCTGGACCACTATTTGGGTTTCTGTTATGGAGGCTACCAAATATATGAGTTCTATCTGATTCCAGTCTGCAGTGAGTACCTTGACTCTCCACTGCGGACACAGAAATGCTGTGAACTCACTGGCTGATCATCAAATTTCTTTGACTATACTATTTCTGATTTTCCTGCAGGATTGAAGATTACAGCCATGTTGTGGATTTTATCCTTAAGAACTGTCTAAGGTCTAATTTTCCCCTGCTTTATAATCTATTTTTTGCTTCTGTTTACCCAAAAATTTTCCCAACATTAAAGGCACCAAAGTACAGCCAAGTGACATTCTTCAGATGTCACCGGAGAGAATGGAAGCTCTTCACTCAATACTCAGTTTCTAAGAAGTAGGCTAGTCTTTTCTGTATTTCAACATTTGATTCCATCCCTTTTGGGGGATCATAATGATCTTGCCTGTTAGTTATCTCAATTCTATCTGTGATACAGTGTCTTCTGTCATTTCTTAATAAATGTTACATGCTGGGCAAAGAAATTATGGTCAGTATTTCCACTTTTACAGAAAATGGGTTAACTGCTAACAATTCAAGAATGCCTACTTATAAGAAAAACACTTATTTCTTTTTAAAAGAGACTAAAGCCATATGCAATGTATACATTCATTCCTCCAATACAAACTTACTACCCCTTCTAAAGCGGAGACTATGGCGATCAGAAAGAAGAAGAATTAGTTCTTACCCTTGAGGACCTTACTAACTAGAAAGAAAAAGTTTATGTGTGAAAATAGCTACATACGGTGTGATGAGACAAATCATCTTCTCTTAGCACCTGGTACAAGAAACCTCTCTCTGTCCATGCTTTTGCGACCAATGTGCCTTGATAGTCCACCTTAGAGTAGGTTCACCCACATGGGATAGGCATGTTGGCAACCCCAAAAGCTTAAGAGAAGGATATTAAACAATCACGCATGAGACGAAGACAGGAATATGTTTTGCTCCAGAAAGGAAGGAGGAAACAGAAGACAGGAGAGATCTAGTCAGGAGGTCATGAGTATGACCCTATGATCTTTCCACATCAAGCTGTCACACTCACGCAATCCTTAGGGTAGGTCAACTTTCCTGTGAAAACCAGTGGAGTTGAGTTTCCTATCTGGGTGGATTCAAGGGAAAACACAGACAGCCCAGGAGCCAAACAGAGCAGGGGGAACAGGAACTCTCAGAAATTGTGGAGAGGCTGTGGAGAGATGGACATTGCTGTGGAAAGTAGTGTCTTGGTTACGTAGACTGCAAAGAAGAACACAGAAGGATCAGAAACAGGATTTCAAATAGGAGGAGATCACCTCAAGACCAGCAGGGGCTATGCTGGAGTCAGCATCAGGGAAGACTTCACAAGGGAGGTAATCTTTGAAGTAGGCCTCGAAGGTCATTCTAAATGGAAGGCAAGAGTGAGTGACAACGAGCCCAACTTACATATCTATTAGAATGGCTAAAATCCAAAGAAATGACAGCACCAAATGCTGGCAAAATGCTGGTGGAGCGATAAGAACTCTCATTTGTTGCTAGTGAGAAAGCAAAATGGTACAACCACTTTGGAAGACGGGGGGGTGCTCTGTGCAAAGCTAAACATGGACTTACCATACAATGCAGCAATTGCGCTCCTCAGCATTTTACCCGAATGAGCTGAAAACTTATGTCCGTGCAAGAACCTGCACATGAATGTTTGTAGCAGGTTTATTCATAATTGCCAAAAACTGGCAGCAACCAAGATGCCCCTTGATAGGTGAACAGGTAAGCAAACTGTGGTACCTCTACACAATGGAATGCTACTCTGTGATAAAGAGAACTGATTTATCAAGCCACAAAAAGACATGGAATGATCCTTAAATGCATATTGTTTAATGTAATAAGCCAATGTGAAAGGCTAGATACTGTATGATTCCAACTATGCAACACTCTGAATAAGGCAAAACTATAGACAATAAAACCTTTCCAAAGTGTCCTGCTCTGCTGATGCCTGTAGTACAACACTATAATATAAGGTTATGAATTTTAAAAATACAGTTACAGAAATAGACATAGTACTGGACTATGAAATCTGAAGAGAGAAAACTTTCCTTTAATGATAAAAGGAACAAACATTTCTGGTGCTTCCTCTTCACCCTCTTATTCTTTTAAATACAGATATGATTCCTGGAGTTACAAAATCCAAGAGAATGGAACAGGCACTGATCTTGACATAGCTGAGCCTCTGAACCAATGCTAGCAGCTGTCTACATGTGAAAATAATAAATCTTTTGATCAAGCCAAAATTT